GTTTAACCAATATTGGCATTACATTGGGAAATATTGGCCAATGTATGCCCAATGTAAAGCCAATATTGGATAATGATTGATTTGCAATATTGGCTATACATTGGCATTCATTATATAACCAATATTGTGCAATGATGGACATGCAATATTGGCTATACATTGGCATTTAATGTTTAACCAATATTGGCATTACATTGGGAAATATTGGCCAATGTATGCCCAATGTAAAGCCAATATTGGATAATGATTGATTTGCAATATTGGTTATACATTGTCATTTATCGTATAACCAATATTGGCATTACATTGGGAAATATTGGCCAATGTATGCCCAATATAACCAATGTTTAGCCAATCTTAGCCAATGTATAGCCAATGTTCTGTGCTACTAGGGTTTTTTAAAAACATTAACAGTATACGATAACAAAGACAGATAAACAAAAAAATCTGTTGGACTTTATTAAGTAAGAACTACGGTATCTAAATGAAAATAAAATACCTCAGACAATTATATATACTATTGTAAAACAAAAACTTTAAGAATAAAAATGTTTACTTAGGTGTACGATTTTTTGAAATTGTAGCGTAACTTCTATCATAGATGTGTTATCAACGAGATGTTACAGCAGACTGAGCGGCAATCGCTGCTGCGTGCTCAGACGGGTTTACGCGTGTCTCGTGTGATTTGTTTGTAACGTAGCCTCGATTATTCTACTTATCCCTAGTTTACTGACCCCGGTCTCCCCTACTTGATATTTTTCAAAATCGCCACATGATATCGAAAACTAGAAGCTTCAATCAAAATTTTGGTACTCTGTAAGTAACATTCGGTTGCGTACAGTTTTGGGCAGGAGGGTGGTCGAGTTGACGTGGAATGACCCATATATATGTATAAACTTACAGCTTTGTTTTTATTTACTTATTTATTATTTATTTTATATATATATTTATTTATTATATATTATATAAAATTAAAAATAATATTCTTATTGTTTATATTATATAAAGTTTTCTTAAAATATAATAGAATAACTTTGCCAAATAATCAACAGCCACGATGGACGAATATCTAGAGACGGAGAGCGTGCTCTGAATGTATCCCAATACTCGTACAATTTCAGGTGTTAAGGCATACCTGTCACCGTCTGTACGAGAGTCGTTTGAAAAGTTTTGAGTCTAACATAGAAACAAGTATTTTTTCGGTCAAATTCGGTTTTATTTTTCAACATACTCTCCTTTTAAGTCGATACATTTTTCCTACTGTTGCTCTCATCCCTTTAACCCATTCAAATAATAGTTGGCATCTTGCTCTGCAAAATGGGCTTCTATGGATGTAATCTACTGTTTTGACTGTTTTGACTGTTCCTTCGTCTCAGCGAAGTAGTGGAGTTTCATCCAAGTTTCATTTACAGTTACTAATGGACGCAAAAAATTCGATTCGTTTCGCTTAAATCGCTTCAACAGTGTCTTGGAAATGTATATTCGATTTTTTCCATTTTTACAAAATCACTGACATCGACTGGCACAAATGACTGTCAAACAACAACTGAGCATCCACAATGGCTACAATTTTCACAGGTATCTTTCAAAGCATGTACGATTGCAGTACCAGAATGAAGATTAAAACAGATTACATTTTAATCGGTTTTAGTCGATCATTTTCGGCAGGATATGTATACATTTACTAAATGTAAGTTAACACTTTGACTGTGACATATATATGTAAATAGTCAATATATATGTATATTATTAATTATAATCACAAAATTATTAAATATACGATATAATATAAAATAAAATTTATTTTATTATATTATATATATGTATAAAAAATTCATTTTATACCTATAATTAATAATGTATATGTGCATGTATAATTATTCACATATAAATAAGAATTATATTAACTCAGATGGGATCATTCTGAAAACTGGCTTGTACCGAATGAAGAACAACAGTTTATAGAATCGAGAGGGAGATACGTCAAAATTTTGCTCGAGGATGACGACTATGAATATATGAGCGGTCATGTAATTGATGGAAGAAATTTGCTACCCGCGACGAGTTACTTGGGACTTGTTTGGAAAACAATTGGCATGATAAAAGGGTTAATGTACACAACAATACCGATAGTTTTTCGAGATGTAAAATTTATTCGTGCAACTCATTTATCAAAAAATGATGCTGTACAACTATATGTTTCAATACAGAGAGGTACTTATGAGATGAGTGATTTTAATTCTAATCGAAATTTCCTCTTAAAGTTCTATAATAGGTCTATTCATAGGTCCATTGTACCCTAAATTATTATATAAATATTTATAATAACTTAAATCTTTACAAGGCAGTTGAAAAAAATATTTGAGTCCGATGGATTAGCGAATATCGATTACGGTTAATGTAGTACGATGACAAAAATGCCATATAGTCAAATTTATACAAATATTACAGATGGAAAGTTCGAAATAACCGAAGGAGATAGCGTTGTTGTCACAGGTACAGTGTACGAGGCATTAAATCCAGAACAAGAAATGATTCCGATAAACATATTATCGGAAAATTATGATGAAGATGAAGATATGACTGCACGAGATATCTACAAAGAGTTGAAATTGCGTGGATACCAGTACAGGGGCTTATTTCGTGGATTAAAAAGTGCCTCTATTTCGGGAACCCAAGGACATATCGCTTGGAAAAATAATTGGGAAACATTTATGGATAGTATGTTACAAATGCAAATTATCGGATATGATACTAGGGAATTGTGTGTTCCTACGGGTATTAAAAAATTAGTGATCAATCCAGTGCTTCATGCTTCGAAACTACGGGATAACATAAATAATGCAGAAGTTACAACAGACATGGATAAACGTAATTGACTTCCATTACTAAAAGTTCTTCGTTCAATTCATAAATATTGTGTAAAAGATTTCCATAATATAAAGCGTATTACATTACTTGTCTTATTATAGTATTACAGGTAAGAATATATAAAGAGATAGACACGATAAAAGCTGGAGGAGTAGAGATTCAAGGTCTGATGGCTACTCAGATCTCTCGCCGGAAATTAGCCCAAGATGCTGTTATCGAGGAGCATATGTTTGTAGCTCATTGTGATCGTGCTAAGATTTCTTTAAATGAAGCAATTCGAATATCGGCCCAACTCGTACTGGAAGATCATCAAATTATCAAAGTGCAAGCCACTGAGCTAGTGGAAGACGTCGATGATATTGAATTAGAAAATCTTTCGTCTTCGTTGCTGCTTGAGGCATTTGGTGACATGCCATTGATACAAGTGAATATCACTCTATTAACATCATCAAATCGTTTCAGGCCAGAAGATTTACCGCAAAACTTCTCAATCAAAGATTTTGAAAGAACATCTTTAGACGATAAAGCTTTAATTGTTGCTGGATTCAATCTTTTGACCAAACAACTCGCTTCTTTAGAGCGACTGTTGCCATTTTTGAGAGATGGTGGTTATCTATTGACACGTGAAAAGTGCGATTCAACTGATTATAAAAAACATTTACAGCAATACGAATTAAATGTTATTCTCGAAAAACGCACTGATAAAGAACTAGTTGTGCTTCTGAAAAAAAAAGCTTCGATAAGAGAAAGGACTGTTGTTTACATAAGTAATGATAACTTTAATTGGCTGGAAAATCTAAAGCACCTTGTGAGCGACGAGAATAAGCTTAATAGTAATAGTAGAATTATAATTGTTGGAGAGAAAAATTTTGAGTGTGGTTTGTTAGGTTTTGTTAATTGCTTGAGAAAAGAGCCAGGTGGAGAACTTGTTAGAGGTGTGCTCGTTCAAGATGAGAAGGCACCTAAATTCTCTCTTGAAGATCCCTTTTATCTAGAGCAATTACAGAAAGATATGACCATTAATGTATTGCGATCTAATAAAAGTTGGGGATCGTACAGACATTTAAAGTTACCTCAACCCAAAATCAGATCTGTACCTACCGCTCATGTCTGTCAAACGGTAAATACTAATTTTTTCAAAACATGTTCGTTATCATTATAACATTATCATTCGTCTCTCAAATGCATAATTCTACTTGTCGGACGGAGGATTGAATACACTATTATAAAGTTTCTTTTTAAAATTCCGTTTTGTATACGTTGTGTCATAAAACAATTTTCATTTTTTCATAGGTTCGTGGTGACTTAAGTACATTTTGTTGGATAGAGAATAATCTATCAGACGTGTGTTGTCGTGAGGATTTGGTGCATGTTGTTTACTCATCTCTGAATTTTAAAGATATAATGCTCGCCACTGGTAAATTATTACTTCAAGAGGCGATTTTACAAGGACGATTATTTCAGTATCTTCCTCTTGGAATGGAATACGTGGGTTTCGATGCTAACGGACAACGTATAATGGGAATTCGTAACACTGAGTATGTAATGCTACAAGAAATTATTATGCTGTGATTTCACAAATTGGACAGTAATTAAAAGTTACTCTTACTAGTTGTATAGCAAACGTCATTGAGAAAGATGATGATCTTTGTTGGAACATACCCGATGCGTGGACATTTGAAGAAGCAGCAACGGTCCCGTGCGTTTACAGCACGGTTTATTTAGCCTTATAC